CCTGCGGACTGGCTCGAGAACGATGTCCTCTTGATCTGAAATGATTAAATAAGGAATGAGCTACACTAGCCCAGTAAAGACATCACGATATCTCACCGTCACGGAGGTAAAGGTGGGTAGAAAACACAAAAGACCAATGGAGCATGATTTACGACAAATCCTTTTATTAATAATAAAACCTTTATCATCCACTTACCTCAGTAGAATTTATAAAATAATATACGAAAGCAATAACATTATCATAATCATGGAATCATATAAACTGTAAAACATAACACTTATCACGCCTTTTGTAATTCAATCATTATACAACATATCTTTTCCTTATTTACCAGCCTACTAGTATCCGTGGGGTCCATAGGGGTCCCGCTACCCGTTAACCTTTAACATTCGTCATCGGATTCCAGGGCCGTCCTCATACCCCGTCCGGTATGGGCGCCAAAACCATAAACCTCAATACCCCGTCCGGTATGAGAGTGAAACGGGCCGTCCCCATACCCCGTCTGGTATGGGCGCTAAAACCATAAACCTCAATACCCCGTCCGGTATGAGGGTGAAACAGGCCGTCCCCATACCCCGTCCGGAATGGGCGCCAAAACACACAAGATCTCCATACCCCGTCCGGTATGGGAGACCACAATCTCGGTAGGGTTCCCTACGGACCCGGTCCGTCCACCATCTCCCAGGATATCTAGTCGGGCTGAACACATTATACAATTTCCATTCACATAATCTTTCATTCTCCTTTTCCCTCAGTCAGCATTATCAATCACATACAAACAAGCAAAACGATAATTTATGCCAAACAGACAACATATAGCACCAATATCCCGGTCATTCAATCCATAATCAATAAAACAGTAAAATATGCACACGAAACTATAAAATGAAAACATCGAACCTCATGCTGTATTCAAAACTGTAAAATAGGCCAAATAACAGTTAACCGACAAACACACTAGACTCGGGCTCCATTAGCGACCTTAAGCAATTTCACACATTCATTGATTCATGAAATACCGTTTTATCATTTATTGGACTTTAAAACCGTGATAGGAAATAGAGTGAGGAGTCCTTACTCGTTTCGGGGTCCGAACACGACTTCACAGTGCGCTTGCAGGCTGTCCCTAATTTTCCCTGAATTTTCCTCGGGGAACTTAAACGCACTACTGGTACCTGCACGTGTTCCAAAAAATCCCAAATTAGGCCCAGGGCCCCTTTCGGCCCAAATCGCAACTCCGGCACAGCGGCTCCGCCGTGCTCCGGCGACAGCACCGCCGCTGGCGGCGGCGATTCGCCTCGGGTTGGCTGTTTTCGGCCGTTTCTGGCCGAATTCGGCCACACTCGCATCGGTCCCTGCGAGAAAACAACCCTAGGGCCCTCGGGGGGCCAAAAAATCACGGAAAAACGGAGCTTACCGGCGGCGGCGCTCTCGGGTGCGGCGGCTCTCCAGCGAGGTTCGTGTTTTGGTGATTCGGCTCCGGTCAACCTGTAGAGAAAAGAGTGGTGATCACGGTGATATAAAAATTGCATCAAACGGAGGCCGGGAAGGGTCTCATCGGAGGCAAAAACCGAGAAGGGCGCGGCGGCACCGCTGGGCTTCGGCCGTGCGGCCGGGATTTTGGCTCCGATTTGGCCACAGGAGGAATCAGCGTGGAAAAACGAGTCGGGGGTACGAAATTTACCTCGATCGGCGGTCGGAAGTTCCTCCGGTGCGGCGGCGGGTGGCGGCGGCCGGCTTCTGGTTCGTCTTCTCCGGCGAGCGGCAGGCGGCTAGGGTTTATGGTCTGGTGTGGGGGTTCTATTTATAACCCCTTACCTTTTGATCTCAGCCGTTCATTTTGTTTTAATCTGGGCCGTCCGTTTTTGATTAAATCTGGGCCGTCCGTGCGTTTAAATCTGGGTCGTCCGATCGCACGCTTGATCTGGACCGTCCGATCGCGCCCACGCGGATTGCCAACGTGGCCCTTTTTAGAACGACGTGGTTTTGCCACGTGGCAGGTCTCGGTTGGCCGGGACTGCTGACCGGGTCTGCTGACGTGGCTGCCGACGTGGCTTTTTTTTTTTTTCTTTTCTTCCCGGTCCGGGCGCTACAGTTTTATGAATTTCACCGAGGTAAGTGGATGGTAAAGGTTTTATTATTAATAAAAGGATTTGTTGTAAATCATGCTCTATTGGTCTTCTTGTGTTTTCTACCCACCTTTACCTCTATGACAGTGAGATATCGTGATGTCTTTACTGGGCTAGTGTAGCTCATTCCTTATTTAATCATTTCAGATCAGTAAGACATTGTTCCTGAGCCCGTTCCGCAGGAAGACGACGAAGGGGACGCCTAAAGACTCCATAGTCATATTCATAGCTTTTACTTTCAAATTTCTCTTTTAGTTAGTTTGATCTTTTATATTTTGAGCACATTTTTGGTTTTAGTGTAAGGGATGTTAATCGAAATTTTGACTTCGCTTCCGCATTTGACATTTTTAATACACATATTTTATTTTAAATTTTTCGGGGCCGTTACAATTATAGAAAACACCAAGAATAATTTTGTTGTAGTAATGAATGGTACATGGTATTTTTTTTCAATGGCTAAAATGAAACTAAACATAAGGCAAATTTTGATATATAAATATAATATATATATATATATGTGTTGATTCATTTTTCTAATAAAAATAGTCAGTATTTATTTTCTTGACTCTTCTATGAACTTTATTGAAACTTAGTAAACTTTCAAATTAATTAATCTTAATAAAAGTAATATACATCTCTCTCCTATAACTTCCTCATTGTTCAGATAACTTCTCCCTTTCGAAACAAATCAAAATCAGTATCTCTTTTTTTTAAAAAATTTAATTTTCTAACAAGTTTTGTTGTGTTGTCTCTCTCTTGTCAAGTTTTTCTCTCCTCGAGCAATGTCCGCCTTATAAAATGTGTCTTTTAATTTACTTCTATAGTGGTTGTGCCATTGAGCCCTTTCTCTCTCTCTTTATCTCTCTTGTAGAGCTTCTCTTTCTATGTGATTCTTTTTAATACTTCTCATACACTATCTTTTTAAACTTTTTTCTAATAAATATTTTAAAATATAAGATTATGGATTCAATATATCAAATAAATAATATTTATTTATTAAAAATAATATAATGTGATAATATGGATGATAACATAGAATAAAAATTTAATGTTATCAATAGCTGACTAGTTAATATTTAAACACGTATTGTTGATTATTAAAATTAAACAAAGAAATTTTAAATAGTAATTTTAATTTTTACTACTTTCATTTGTATTGTAATGACAAACTTTAAAGTAAAATATGTTTATATTCTAACTAATAATTTTAATAATGTACTATATTTTTAGACAAATTACTAAATTATTTCACAAAATTTAACATTTGTTATAATTTAATTTTTAATTTTTTTATTATAATTTAGCTCCCGATTTTTTATTTGTCCATTATTCTTCAAATTTTTAATTGAAAAATGTAAAATTTTAAATGTTCTAAAAAATAATTTTAACTAATTAATTAAATTAATAATAAAATATATATAATATTATGATTAATTTATTAATGGATGCATTTAATAACCCGTCAAAGTAATTATTTTGAACTATTTTTTGTGATATTCAAATATAGTACAACTATTTTAAATTTTTCTGATAAAAAATAAAAAAACTGAATACTTAAAACAAATATAAAATATTAAAATTAAATTATAATAAAAAACG